AAATATAGATTTAAAAATAGAGGAAATTATATCCCCACACTTACCACAGTGCATATAGGTAACCTGTCTTCATAAGTATCGTTGCAGGTAAAAGGTGCCATCTGCAGAAGATGTCTTACACTACCTTTTATCAAATGTAGTATGGATCTGTATAATATAAGAATATTTGTTATTTAAAAGGCATTCTACGATCTTGATACGCCTGAAAGTGAAACTGAAGAATTCGCCAATGTCTTTATAATCTGTTACCCGAAGTTCGATAAATTCCGCCTATTTGTACAAGAGACGGCCACTGTTTAGACGGTTGCTATGGAAACAGACTTGTTAACCACCAGATTATTAATAATTTTCTTGATTTTAACCGCATTGTATTTTCAAACGAAAATTTACCTGTGTACTTCACGAAATTAAATCTATATCGCCGTTTGCTTCGCTGGAATGGACAACTATGGTTTAACAGAGCGAAAATATCATTTCTTGATAAAATTGATTGCCTGATGGCAAACTTTGGACACCAAGATGAATACTCATAGGAAAATACAGAGAAAATGGCTACGAATTCCTCATTAACGACATGTGCCATATAAATCTGGCTAAATCCAGATAGTGTCAGGTTTTAAAGGGAAAGAGTTAAAACTATCGGACATATATACGGTATATCACTTACATCTCACGAATCCTTTATGTACTTTCCTCTTCTGACATATTGGCGAATACACGGTTTCGCGAAAGCTGATCTAGAAATGTCACATTGATTCAAACCGTTTCACTTTTACATAACATTTTTATCAATTCACAAAAAGAGCCATTTCTCTTCCGACTTGATTAACAGTTAAAGGACATCAACTAAGGAAATATAAAATTCAGATGAATATCAATAGTAAAAAGTGAGAAAATGGTTTTCAATTAGTTTTATGTAAACAATTAATGAAAGTACATAATAGTCTGCATAATGCAGCATCCCTTCTTCTCAACCTATTTTGCTTACATATCGGAGTTGATTCAATATTCAAAGGTTTGTTTCCAACATGACGATTTTCGTGCAAGATGTCAACAGCTGACAAAAAAAAAAACAAAAAACAAAAAACAAAAAAAAAACAAAAAAAAAAATCGAGAAATGCAAATGAGTGAAAATTATGAGGAAGTTTTTTGTCGTATAAAGTGTGACGTGTATAGTATTCGAAATTATGCCTTGTAGTTCCTTTTAATTATTCTTATTCTCGTTTGGAAACGTGATGTTACTTAAAGATGGATCGAGGAAGAAATTGGAGAAGATCTTGTTCCCCTTTAATTTCATATGACCAGGTCGGTATTTTCTCACAGTCTGTTACATTTTGTTGATTGTATAAGTGAAAAGCAATTTCCAATATAAATGTAGAATTGGATAAGGTGGACTCAGATAATAAATTGCATTGTATCGTTCAACTGTATCTTTCTTGTAGGACTCAGTGATACTAACGGCATTCATAGTTACTGCCTAGTAGGCGACCGGGGAAAACCAAAACTGTTCGGAAAAAATGTCAGAATCTAATGGGGAGACGCGCCGGCTCCGTAATTCAATAATTTTCGTAATTTTTATACATCTTATATTTCCTATGTCAGTGTCTGGTTAGTTTATATATGCATTTATTTCCCTAATGTAAAATATACTGAAAGGATAAAGAAACGCAGGGTAATATTTATTCCGATATTTTGAAAACGCGTTCTCCAAATAAAGTGAAACTTTGTGGATTGAGTAATTAGGTCATATTACACCTTGTCATGTATCGAAAATTTAGTCACGGTACAGTGCGCAGCTCTGGTAAATGGGGGAATGAAAAAACAAGAATCTCGTGCACCGTGTTGTTCTGGTCTCATGCAGCGTTAGTCAAGTCACTCTTCGTTAGTCTTTATACAGACCAACTGCTTCCCTAAAATTAATTGAGAATTTGATTCGTTTTAAGAATGGCACAGAAGTTCAGAGGGGTCAGGTCATTCAGATGCTGATGCAAGGACAGCTGCAAAATCAGGTTGTTAGGCACTGGTGTTAATGTTTCCACCATAGAACGTCTTGTAAGACGTCTTCGAGAAACTGGGCGATTGGCCGATCGACCTAGGTCAGGACGTCCGCGCGTAACGTCACGACGTCAGGATCGCTATATCGTCGTCTCTCATGTGCGTAATCGGCGCCTTACTGCCGTTGAGAGTGCACTTAATGTTCGTGGAAATCATGGGCGTCTTATAAGTTCAAAAACTGTAAGGAATCGATTACGAGAAGTTGGTGTAAGAGCACGTCGCCCCTACGTAGATCCACACCTTACCCCTGCTCGACGTCGGCGTCGTCGTATGGCCTGGGTCGCTGCACATTCTCCACGACGGTTTCCAATGAGGCAGTGGAGACAAGTTTTCTTCACGGACGAGTCTCGATTCTGTCTTTATCGATCTAACGGCCGTCAACGTGTCTACCGACGTTGTGGCGAACGTTTTACGGACGCTTGCGTGGTAGAGAGGGATAGGTTTGGGGGCGGTTCAGTAATGGTGTGGGGAGGAATCTCACACGTGTTAAAATCACAATTGGTTGTTATTGGTGGCAATTTAACAGCAGCTAAGTATAGAGATGAGATCCTCCGACCCCATGTTATCCCTTTCTTACAGCAGCATAATCTAGCCCTCCAGCAGGATAATGCTAGGCCCCACGTAGCAAGGATTTGCCAAGTCTTTCTGGCCAACAACAACATTCAACCACTAGATTGGCCGCCATATAGCCCTGATTTGTCCCCGATCGAGCCAGCCACCCCCTGCTACTCGAGAGCAGTTGACCAGAGCTCTGATTGAAAAGTGGGACAACATCCCCATAAGAGGTATTAACGCTCTCATGAACTCTATGAACAGAAGAATAAGGGCCGTGACCACAGCAAACGGCGGACACACAAGATATTGATGACTCAGTTCATTTTCAATTTCAAAATCCTATGGGTCCATTCAATTTAATCATTAGTACCTCTAAACCAATTGTCAGATGCAAAATACAGACTTTGGAAATTTTTAAGCGTTAATTTATCTGTAAGTATACAAAATTTCGTTTTAAATGAAGCCCGATATCATACTTAATTTCAGGTTTAAAGTTCACCCTGCGTTTCTTTATCCTTTTAGTATATATCCATTTCAGTATCGACAGATTCATACTTCGTCGCATCCTGCATCATGTCTTAATTTTTTTGACATTCAACGGCTTATTCTCTACATCACTAATTTCTTCGACAACTGACAGACAAACTCACAACACAGGGTTTGGAGAGACAGATTGACAAAGATTATGGGTAAGTTGTACGGTCGTCGTAATGATATCATTAGGAAATATGTTATTTCCTTTTCCGATATGAAGATGGAAGTGTTTGATGCTCTTTAGTATACCTGTTGGTTCCGTCGTTGTATAACCTTTTTCTCATTCGAGGACGTGTCTTTACTTACTTGGGTTTACAGAGCGGAATCGTCGTTGAAGCAGAAGACGCTTGCTGTTCCGGAACACCTTATTCTCCTGTTGTTTTTTTTCACGAGTCTGCGTGTAAATCTTTCTTTTGTTCATATTTTACGCTAGTTTTATTGAATTTGATTTTGGATTACGATTATGTTGACGTGTTGGTATTTTCTTGTTGTTTTATTTGGCAAACACTCTCCCCTTGCATATGTATGACAGGCCTTTCCATATTTGTAATATTAGGGATTGCGCTGTGCGTAACTTCAATTTGTGTATACTATGTCTCGGCATGAGGACGGAAACTAAAGCTAAGATTACGCATAAGATATTTACCCTTCCAGAGCTCTTTGCCTTATTCCACTTGCATGTTTGTCAGGGTAAATATTTGTTCATATTTTGCCCTTGGTTCATCGAATTTTAGTTAGAATTCTTTTGAAATATTAGTTTTTTGTGTTTTTTTTAATATAAACACTATTAAACACAACAAATCAGCAATGCAATATGTGTTTTAATAAAAAAAACAAAGTTATGACATATTTATCAACAGAAATCAGACAACAGTTACAACAGAGTGATGCTTTGTTGTATAATATACATACACTTGACTCACGGAGTCTACACGAGTTAACGATATTTAATCATTTGTTTTTGGTAGTATACCCTTAATACCAACCATCATAATTCATATTCATATCAGAGATTCGGACTGTGCTCTCCCTGTACGAGATGTTATATAGAATTAAGGTGAGCTTTATAAGCTATATATCTGCATTTCAGATTAGCTTTAAATTGAAGGGAGATAACTACGTCAGGCATATCTCCATTGGAGAAAAACGATTCCTTATGATATATATACGCATCAATAAAACATAACCAAAAAATGCATACAAAATACACTCCATCCAAAAATAAATTCCACTTTTGTGAAATGGACATAATTCACTTTGATTAAGTCAGTAATAATAACAACACATAATAATATCATAACAGATAAACAAAATAAAGATAAGATGTATATACATATGTTCACACAGAGATCAGCTGAGTTATAGGACAAGCATAGACACTTTTGATAATAATCTATAACACATGTGTAGAAACACTGATAATTCTGGAATGACGATACAGAGCGGTACTTTAATATCATTCGTCAACAAGCTGTTCAATACTGAAGTAACGGAATTTCTATTTGCGGGGATAATAAAAACACGCGCATCCGATTGGCTAATATTTATAACCTGGCTATATTTAGTTAAGTGTGTAAAACCCATTCGGTGACAATCCCACCGTGTGTGTGTTTGTATGTGTATACACATTCCTCCAGATCTCTTACCTGTGGCAGGTATCTAGTGTATTACTAAGACGTTTCGCTGTTCTGTTATATATATGACACACAAGCTATCAAGAAGAAATATATCAAAGCATGCCAAATACACATATACTTCCCTAATAGAATATCTACTTGATAGAATACATATTAAATGCTACAGTTACCATATACCAGATCTCGTACATCGTACAGAGAATATCATTTCCTTCAGATTCACAATTTGTATTTCTTTTTCAGTTTTCGAAGACACCTTTTGCGAGGTTTCCCGCTCTTCTTCATACACCTTTTGCGGAGTTCCTTACGACTTTTTCTGTCTTTTCCCCTGCGTCGTCCGCCTTTACGACCACGTCGTCCGCCTTTTCTACCCTTATTGTGACGTCTGGACCGTCGTCTTGCAGATGTACCGCACGTGTATGTCTCATCCTCTTCATTGATACACTCTTCCCATGATGTAATCACGCCACTTAAAATATTGAAACTTTCTAAAAGTGTTCTCCTCTCAAATTCAATTCTATCTGTGTTTGTTGCATCCGATTGATCCGGAAGGGGACAGTACCGAGCCGAGCACAGCTTTCGATCATTACGAAATGTACGATTTCTACGCAAAAGTGCGCACAAAGCTTGATTGATGCTGTTTCTGACAGCTCCATAGTTACCAGACCGTCCCTCCTCGAGCTTACAATCTGCATATTTCGTTGTGACTGCTATGCTTGTTATCTTTTTAAACAGCACTTTCAGGAAGTCATTCTGTAAATCAAATCAATATTTCATCATAAGATAATCAACAGAAACAAAAGAAGTTAAACTTGGATAAATTTTGCGTTCTTAACACGATAAACCACCTTTTGAATTATATATGTAAACATTTAAACCATCAATTTGACTTCTTATCAAAACTTTAATTTAGATACGTATATATAACTCTCTTAGTATACGCCTTTGTAGAAAAATATAAAATAAACACTTACTATGTCTTTCTGTCGTGGTATGGATGATACCCGAAACCTTCCAAAGGCATCGTTTGCTGGATTGTGTGCGTTATTCTGAAAAAAAAAAAAAAAAAAATGACACCGGTTAGTAGTTCAATGGAAACAAAACGTGTCGATCATAACTTACATCATTACTTTTCTGTTTATGAAGCCTTAAAACAGATGATTATTGCAAAAACCTCGAACATTGCAATAGAAAGGAGGCAATGTTCAAGAGAAATGAAATTAATAGATTTACACAATGATATAGAGTTATTTATGTAAAAACTTGTAAAAAAAAACCATATTCTTCGTCGTGTGAAATTAAGTGTTGATTGATCTAGAACGTTGTTCAGTTCGTTTGGAAGTGCGTACACGTACACAAATAGTGCCAGGTTTGTAGTTATTTACCAGGTGATTGTCAACAGTACGTTTGTACCTCAAGTGAAGGACAGAATTGTTTTTATCTAAGTTCATTTATCTTTTGATATATAAATTATATGTGTTATTTTGTGTCAGGGGTCCGTCAAACACGTGCAGAAGTATTTATAAAGTTATGGCAATTTATATCTGAGGTACGTTTTAGAAAAGTACCAAAAATACAAATTTGTGATATTTTCTATTAAGAGGACTTTCAATTTCAGAAATATTGGCCATTCTTGACATTACATAAGAACATACTATGTCTCTCTGTCGTGGTATGGATGATATGTGACCATTTTCACAAGCATCGTGAACTGGATTGTGTGCATAAGTCTGCAAAAAAAAAAAAAAACAAAAAACAAAAAAAAACAAAAAAAAAAATCAATCAAAGAAGTCAATGTTTAAAATAAATTAATAGATTTACACATTATTTAACACAGAAGAATGGACTTATCCATATAAGCTTTGCATAAAAAGGCCCATTCTCCGTCGTGTGTTTTGCTGTCTCCTCGGTTCATTTTAGTCCTTAAAAGTAGTTGTGTTATCTTATGTCAGAGGCTCTTCAAAAACTTACAGAAACACTTACAAAATTATGGCAATTTGTATCAAGAGGAAATTTCAGAAAAGTACAAAAAAAATCACAAATTTGTGTTATATTTTAAACAAGGTACTTGAAATTTCATAATTTTACAAAAGTGCTCGCAAGGAGTTTGGTATTTTGTATATAAAGTACTTTTTAAGATTGTAAAAATAAACTTACCAAGTTGCAGTATTTACTACTTATAGATATTCGGAGTAGATTCAGAGCAATTCTGATTTCGTCTTTCGTTGGTGCCGCTAGTGTGGATGTTATTAATTGATCAACGAGTCCTAGAGGGTTGCTTCCTTCACACGCCTCACAGAAGTTGGTACGCTGGGCACACCTGGAGGCATGTCCGAACATTGGCAGGTCGGACAGAAATATTGTAAGTATCGCGAAATCTATAAAAGAAAATCATCATCAAGTTGTAATTGCAAAAATATATCGCTAATTACAATATTTACTTATAAGAATTTTAGAACAACATATATTAGCACGTGTAAACAGGCGTATTCTCATTGTTTCTTTAACTTTATAACAATATCATTTGACAAGAGCTGAAAATAATGAAAATCTAAGATTATCTAGATGTGTGTATTTCATTTGTTATGTTACCTGTAAAGAAACAATATTATTAAATATATAGATCACACAGCAACAGCGAGCGAGGCTCATAAAGCCTGCCAATATTTAGTCCTTATCTGCAAAACGTCGGGCGGCACAAGGCCGAAGTGTGCGATGGCTGTATACACTCACACCACACCTGTACTAGAATAGTTATACATAACATTTATGTATTATATACGCTAGACTTACAGATGTAAATTCGTGACATTGTATTTGGCTTGGGGACTGATGTGGACAACGGGCCATTTTGATTCTGTATTTATATGTTAATCAAGCGGGATTTACACGTTTCAGAGCGGAAACTTTCAGTGTAGCCAGTTTCTGTTGTGTGTTTACACATAGACGTCATCAATACCGATAATAGACATGGATGGCTGATCATTTCATTGCAGGTTTATATTACGTTTCGAGAATAACTAATATCTAATTTTCTTTTCCTTTCATTCTTTGATATTCATTGTGTAATATTTGACCGTCATGGTTGGACTCCGGCTTTTTTGTGATCTTCGGAACCAGTGTTAATTTCTGTATCACTAGGCAGGATGGATCGGAACTGAAACAGATATCGCTGATGTTCATCACAGGGTGCTCTGTTCATCATTGATCACCACCTGTCACCATTTTATTAGGAATGTCTGGTAATATTTACTGAAAAGAGTTTAAATAGGAATTTTCCTCCCAAATGACAGTGTTGCATAGTATTTGCGAAATCAAACGAGTTATGCATTTTAATGTCGATTTTCAAAGTTGTAATACAGATTTATAGATTTTAATTTGGGCACGATCTCGTGTCTCATCTCCAATAGTCCTCTTTATTTTAATGTCATGTATTGCGAATTGCATTTGTACTCTCTTTCAATGCCAAATTTTCATGTAAAATGAAATTTAATTCAGCCATCTTATATTTTATACATGTTTGTATGCTTATTAAGAGGAAACGGCGTTTATGATATTCTTGTAACTTGTGCCCAAGGCCATTTGCTTCTTTTTGTTCATAAAATATGTTTAAACTAAAAGATGACCACTGAAAATATAGATGTACAGCTTGGTAACTTGGGAAAGGCTTTGACGATAACAAATATAGCTGAAAATTTACGGTTTAACTATATTTATGTTTTATAGGAAGAAAATAGATATGTTCGATGTTCAATGTCATTATGCATAGTGACTAAGGTGATCGTGTTTTAAAATTGTTAATGTGAATGACTACAGCACAAGTATGTGTAAATGATGTCACCGTTGTTGTAGTGTGATTTATTAAGTCATATAAACGTAGTCCAGCTTTTAATACTTTACTATTCAGCTTTGAGGGTTTAACAAACAGCCATGGTATCAACCTGGTCGGGAGGTTTGATTTGGAAGCCTTTTGTGATGTTATCAACTAGTGTTAAAGTCTTCACAAGCTAAAGTGCACAAGACTTTCAAATACATTAGTCTGTATTTGCTTAGTAAATGTGATATAGACATTTAAAATCGTTACCATTGATAAGGATGTAGATGAATGTATATATATGTGTGTGTAAGTGTGTGTGTCACAGTGTGTTTCTTTGAAGGAGCGTCCGAGCGTGGTGAAACATGCAGTACCTGTACTCCAGCGGATTGTAGAGTAAAATTGTAAAATATCATTAATGATGATGATATGCACCAAGAACAGTAATCTATTATATATATATATACTATTTCATCGTCTTTACTATCAAAATCTAATGCGGTTTGAAAAAAAAAGTTTTTTCTTCTTGGCATTTACTACAAGGGTGATCTCTTTCAATCATTCTATTGTATTTTGGATATATAACATATGACGAAAAAAAAAAAATTAAAAAATTAAAGGCAATATTTCAAAGTCGACACGTGCAGACACATTTCTTATTCTCAGAATCTTTTGAAAGTTTGCCGAACTAAAACTGTAAACTGTAGGTGTCCTTGTTTCAATGTTTACGAAAAGTCTATGATTTAACAATTTTGCAACCCATGATGAGGTATGTCGGAGTGAGGTTAAAAAAACCATAATTCATGTTAGATGAGTAAGTTGATTAGATACTTAAGTAAATGAGTATTATTTGTGTGTGGGTAGGAACGTGGGCTTTACAAGACAACTTGTGTTTACAGAATTTTGTTTGCATTATCGCGATAATGGAACCGATACCATAGACAACCATATCATCACAAAGGCTTAATTATTATTGACAAAGTACAGACAGCCAAGTGAATCCGACCAATACTAGATATCCAACCAATCAGACACTTGAGGTCGGCGCCCACATCAGTTCGAAAATTGGGGATATCCACAAACGCCCTATCACAACGACCTGAAACTTCAAGTACCTCATTTCCCACTGTACTGTTTGCCAACTTAGAACACATGAAAATATTAGGTAATTAACTCAATATTAAGTCTACGGTTCCAAATGACGTCACTTTGGCCACAAATATTTTTCTGTCGCATTTTGAAATTTAAAAAAAGATGGATGAAAAGTAATGTGATTCCTGAAACGTAAAATACGTTTATTACCAAAGTGACGTTTTCACTGTGTAGTGCATTTACAAAGCGCAGTTAAGGACTGAATAGATTGCATCGATAGACATGCATTGACATGAAAATCAGCTATTTGCATATTCAATTTTATTTGGATGGAGGTTGGGGGTGGGGAATGGGGGGTTGGGGTGGGGGTATCGAACGTTGTATAAAATCGTTAAGTTGTAAATGCTAGTTTAGGTCTTTCCCATGTCGCTGGTACTGTAAACCAGGTGTTAGATCACAATGACATATCTACAAGATTTAACTGGCTCGTTATTTATACACATTTACCTCAGGGTTTATTTATAGCATGCAAAACAACATTTGAATAGTATACCATATTTATTGAGGAAATCAGTGTTTAAAGCGCTTTGCACCACATGAACTTAAACTATCTCTAAGCATAATAGAGATAATACGAGAGAAATGGGGTTACATTCCTTTAGTCTCGTAGACATCATTCATACGCTGGCGATTATCAGTAAGTCAGTTGTGTAAAATGCCTATGTCTGTCTCGCATACAAAATATACTGCAGTAATAATATAAGCCAATGACTTATCCCGATAACTATTTGTCCTTTAAAAGAAGGAATGTACTAATATTTCGGGAGACACTGGAAATCGCACACACTACTGGGGAAAACCACAGTCAGTCAGCCAGCCAGTCACAGCGATAAGAGCCCAATCAATAAATAAAAATACATTTTAGTGTATTGGGTATTAGTATATATAGATTAAGGTAGTATTTTCATGGTTTTCTTATCTTTCTGTAACATATGGAAATGAAAGTAAACGATTCCGAAATTCATCGTAATCGTGGGATTTCGATTTGATGAATACAATGTGATGCATTTCACACGTGCATTTTATATTGCTACAATAGGTAATACAATATAGACGTTCCCTGTACAGTGATACAATATACATTGTCGTGTACTCTTGCACTACGTATTGATAAACATACATATCATAATACAATGTACTATAAAGTAATATATAATACAATGTACTATAAGTAATATATAATACAATGTACTATAAAGTAATATATAATACAATGTACTATAAAGTAATATATAATACAATGTACTATAAAGTAATATATAATACAATGTACTATAAAGTAATATATAATACAATGTACTATAAAGTAATATATAATACAATGTACTATAAAGTAATATATAATACAATGTACTATAAAGTAATATATAATACAATGTACTATAAAGTAATATATAATACAATGTACTATAAAGTAATATATAATACAATGTACTATAAAGTGATATATAATACAATGTACTATAAAGTAATATATAATACAATGTACTATAAAGTGATATATAATACAATGTACTATAAAGTAATATATAATACAATGTACTATAAAGTAATATATAATACAATGTACTATAAAGTAATATATAATACAATGTACTATAAAGTGATATATAATACAATGTACTATAAAGTGATATATAATACAATGTACTATAAAGTAATATATAATACAATGTACTATAAAGTGATATATAATACAATGTACTATAAAGTGATATATAATACAATGTACTATAAAGTGATATATAATACAATGTACTATAAAGTGATATATAATACAATGCACACATGTACTATACATTCTTCCGGTATTTAAGACATCGTACAAGCGCAATACATGTTGAGACAATATGTACTTCAAAATACACGTGCACTAAATTTTTCCATACACTATGTAATACAAAATACACGTGCGCTAAATAATTACACACAGTATGTAATACAAAATACACGTGCACTAAATAATTACACACAGTATGTAATACAAAATACACGTGCGCTAAATAATTACACACAGTATGTAATACAAAATACACGTGCACTAAATAATTACACACAGTATGTAATACAAAATACACGTGCACTAAATAATTACACACAGTATGTAATACAAAATACACGTGCACTAAATAATTACACACAGTATGTAATACAAAATACAAGTGCACTAAATAATGAAGAAGTATATACTACAACGTACACTAAAACTTTGGTAAATAAAATTGTTACTATTTAATCAGATCTTGTGATTCAAAAGAAGATTCATTATTTTTCTGATTTCAGTGACTGAGTTCCTCTTCTCAGCTGTGAATTAACTTCTAATCTATCTTCTCCTGTAAACAAACTTTTAGGAAGGGTGGAAGTAAGCGATGAT